TGCAACATTTGCAGATATTTTTACTGGTCTTCCTTTATAAATATGCATTTCTTTAAACATAATTCAAAAGTAGTGTAAGGGAAGTAACCAAAACGTTGTATTTGGATTACCTCCCTTACACTGTTTTAAATTATCTTAATTGTTCATTAACCATTACTTTATACATAATTTAAAAGCAGTGTAAGGGAGGTAATTTCAATGATGTATTTGATTTATCTCCCTTAAACTGCTTTAAATTATGTTTTGTACTAAAGTATTTGTCCATTAACCAGGACAACCTTGTTTTTCCCCCTTTTTTGCCCCTAATTACTGAACGGTTTGAGCCATAACCCCCCAAAGCAAATCCTAACCATCCCTTTGTGGTATGGAAACTTGTAGTATAATTTCAGAGAGATCCATACACCGTTCCACAGTTATTGTCTAGAAACTAGAAAATGCTTATTTTTGGCCCCTTTTTGGCCCTTAATTCCTTAACTGTTGGTACCATAACCCCCAAAAATCAATCCCAACCTTCCTTTTGTGGTATTTAACCTTATGGTAAAATTTCAAAGAGATCCATTCACTTAAACTAAAGTTAGAGTGCGAAAACCAATGTGTCTTCGGACGACGATGACGACGCCAATGTCATACCAATATACGACCGAAAAAATTTTTTGCGGTCGTATAAAAACCAGATGAAACCAAGACTGTACTGATAAAAACAAAGAAAGAGAGATGAAATATTATACCACTAAATATTTTGGGTACATATCAATGATATCACATTCTTTTTAGTTAGTCAACAGACCTTCTTGGAAATTAACAATTTTATGAACATTCTTAAAGATGCATAATATCCTCTTTTCACAGGAAATCATTGTTATATCATAGTTACAGTGACCTATAATAAAAAATTGATGAATACCCTTTTTTCATATTTCTACACAATTTACTCTGATCATTCAAATATTCACAATTAACCGAATTACATAATATTTCTTGCCGATTGCATGTCTACAGAGATTGCATCACAAACTTTATTAACTATTGTGCAATTGTTTATTAACAACAGAAAACTAATATGGAGCAATATTCATATGAATTCATCTGGAAAATGCAGTGTGCAAAATCGACTCTGCATTTGACAAACAGAAACAAAGGAAACCCGTGTCTAACATCTGATAGCTGCAGTAGACACAGGAAAATCTGACAATTCTTTTGTACATGCTATTGATCATACAACCGCCTGTGATAACTTCCCTAACTGTAGTGCACTTTAGAATTAATGGTATAAAGGATGGGACAAACCTATATCATATTATCAATATTCAATAAAGAATAAATACAGAGCAGAGTTTATAATCAATACTGTATAGAAAACAAATAGTTCTCTGTGTAAAGATCAGACTCCAAATTATGTCAGATGCAGTGATAGAAAGCTAGACTTCTTTTAACAAGGGAAACCAGTAAAGATAAAACTATGAGGGTTACTTTATGTGCATATACTTATTATCTGTACTTTTCTTTATTAAAAATAGGATGTGGAAATTAAAACAAAATATAGGCACAACTAAAAATCTCTTGGAGGTCTGTAACCATAGAAACAATATTTAAACTATAAGAAAAAAATACTGTATTTTCTGCACGATAAGTCCATGGGGAGGATAGGTCGAAATGTCAATTTTAGGCCGAAATCGTGAAAAAATCTCAAGACTGGTCTTAGTGATGGATAAGAGGAGGGTCCAAATAATATGCAATGGTAAGTATAAGCTCAAGAAAGATATGTATTTTATTGTATTTATAATGCAATATTTATTACTTATGTATTTAAAAAGTTGTTTTGTTCTAATTATACAGTCTTCTTCCAAACAAATCTTACACAGATTAATATTTTCATTTCCTGATAAGTTGAGGTATCAATTTTAATAGTGGATGAAGGGTGTGGTCAGTATGGGCAAACAGTAATATTGATATTCCAACACAGAGAACCTATACTGGTAAATAAACGGTATACATTTTGTACAACCATAAATATAACATCACCATATATAGGCTACACCTGAAGACAAGACAGATGTCATGGAAAATAATGATGCTGATATTTAACCAATTTGGTATTGAAGATCTGTCAACAACAGGAAATGTCTTCCTCAGGCCATACTAATCATCATAGATGTAAGAAATCTCACTTCCTCAAGAGACAAAAATAATCAAAGAAAAGGTGCACTCTTGTCCAAAAGTTACACCCCAGGGGAGATAAATCTGTATTGATCAATTATCTATTGACACATTAAATGGACAAAGGATTTTGGACAATGGAAGACAGGTGTGCTATCTAAAATCAATAGTAATGGTTTTTACAGTTCTCCATCAAACTGCCATCAATGAACTTTTAATGATTTTTTAAAGATGAATACAATTTTGTAAATTATATTCAAATTTCTTTTCTAAAAAAAGAGGATCACAGATGTGTGGTGAGGCAATCACAGAAGGGAATGATTCAGTAATGTTGTTCTTTGTTATGTCATTATTTTTCAGGAAAATTTATATGCATTCAGCCTATTGAACAGAAATAGAAAAATGATACAATCAAACGGCTGTCTGAGAGGAAACTGAAATATGATATAATGCTGTAGAGACAATGGAACAGTTAACACATCTTCAGTTTACATTCTCTGAATCATTTATTTTGAAAAACAAAACAAAAAAATTATATATATCTTCTTTTTACAATGTCAATGGAAGTATTTTTATTTATTTCCTGTACAGAAAAACAACATTAAGTTGTAATTATAAAGAATTTGATTTTCCACAAACAACAGAATTGACTAATTATAACTCCACATTATGTGTTGTCTTCTATCTTTTTACACTCTAAACACTGTTCTCTTGTATAACACATCTAAATATGAATGGGGGGGGGGGGGGGGGGGGTTTCCCATTACACTACTGTGCTACTTGTTTCTTTAAACAGAATACTTTCTCAGATTAAATACCAAAGTCTAAGGTATAGACTCATAAGAAAATTTGCTTTATCAACCTTTTGTATTTAAAACTGGAAGTCTGAGGTATAGACTCATAATAAAATTTGCTTTATCAAACTTTTGTATTTAAAACTGGAAGTCTGAGGTATAGACTCATAATAAAATTTGCTTTATCAAACTTTTGTATTTAAAACTGGAAGTCTAAGGTATAGACTCATAATAAAATTTGCTTTATCAACCTTTTGTATTTAAAACTGGAAGTCTAAGGTATAGACTCATAATAAAATTTGCTTTATCAAACTTTTGTATTTAAAACTGGAAGTCTGAGGTATAGACTCATAATAAAATTTGCTTTATCAACCTTTTGTATTTAAAACTGGAAGTCTGAGGTATAGACTCATAATAAAATTTGCTTTATCAAACTTTTGTATTTAAAACTGGAAGTCTGAGGTATAGACTCATAATAAAATTTGCTTTATCAAACTTTTGTATTTAAAACTGGAAGTCTAAGGTATAGACTCATAATAAAATTTGCTTTATCAACCTTTTGTATTTAAAACTGGAAGTCTAAGGTATAGACTCATAATAAAATTTGCTTTATCAAACTTTTGTATTTTATTCTGGGAGTCTAAGGTATAGACTCATAATAAAATTTGCTTTATCAAACTTTTGTATTTTATTCTGGGAGTCTAAGGTATAGACTCATAAGAACATTTGCTTTATCAACCTTATGTATACCAATCAAGTAACCATTAGAAAAATTTATTTAAAGTCAGATATCAGATTTTCTTGAAATTTTTACCAAAAGACACAGAATTTTTGCAGTCTCTAATGTTTGAAATTTAAGTTTTTAGTGTGGGTAACCTTAGAGTATGCCATGTAATGTGAACAAATAACAAATTATGACAGACAAACAAATCAACAAATACTGTTGCCAAACAATCTCATTGTAAAATACAGAAACAAAACAAACATCTAGTCAACCACGGGGCACATCTAGATATTTGTAAGATGCATATACATATACAGGATTGATTTATGAATAGGGGAAATAATTAGAATGGACTGTAACTATACAATATTTTACTTAATACTTAATACTCAAAAGTTTTCAAATAGGCTATGAATTATTTTTAACTAAGTACAAAAATGTATTGTAATATTCAATGCATAATTTTGCAAATCTTTAGGTTAAATTTCTGTATAAATCACACATATTTATTTAGGAAAGGAAAAAGCTGAACCTTAACTGGTACAAATGCCATGTGGTCAATTGATCAGTTATTTTCAGAAGTTGTTCCATAATTCCAAAAATCAATGATTTTTAAATTTAAATAGTAATTCTTACTATATGCATTTATCCTTTCAACAAAAAACATTTTCAAAACTAATTTAGACAAGTATATAAAGTTGTAAGAGTCTAAAAGTGAAATTTAAAAGGAAAATTATACACAATATGTGGACAAAAGGACATTTATCAATCGGACTACAATTATATCTGGCACAAGTTATTACATATGCTTAGAGTAACTCTTACAGTGTAGAATGGAAATAAAGAGTTAAGAATAACTGCTTTTTTATTCCCTGCACATAATTGGGGATGTGAGTTTCAGAACTACTTAATGTTTTTTTGCTCCCATCAAATGTCCATATAAAAAACTGGAAATGTTTGTATTAATTTTATTTTTATTTCTAACAATAGCTCTTCAATAAGCACACCTCCCATTAAAGGGAAACGATTTGCTTTATAATATTAGGTAGTCAAAATTATGTTTCTGGAAATGATTTTTCCAAATGGCAGGTTCCTTAATATCTAGTGGCTGCAAATTCTTATCATAATATGTTTAATATTTAAACAAATGAAAATGTATAACAGCCATATTTGCTCACTTAAAGGACATTCTTAAGTATGTTAGAGTTGAAGAGAGTTAATTGATTTATGTCAACTGTTCAAAAAATCCTTGACAAAATGAAATAGTTATTGTTAAAATCAAATGTTCTGTTTACGTTTCTTGATTAATAAATGAATAAGCTTACCCCAGACAACCTTTTAGATATCCCTTTAGCATGAGTTAATTTCATATTTTTAGAAATTCTTCCACAACAACAAGAATCCCACCAATTTTGATCTGAATACTCCTGGTCCGAATCTTTGGACCCAATCACACAAACATTTGACAAAGTCCCTTCATGTGTCAAATAAACAAGGTGCGGTAGTCCCACTCCTAGGAGGGGACAAGATTTCTCACTGATATTTGTCATTTAGATACAACAAAGTTGTTAAAAAAGATCATATCTTATAATCTAGGTGACCTGTGGTCATCTTTGGTCTTCACATCACATACAATCCATTTAAACAAAATCAACAACATAATTATCACAAATGTAGGCTAAAATTATAAGTTTCTTTCATACTAATGATAACATCACAATGGCCCTCGGGCTAATGGTCCAAGGTGAAAAAAATCACTCCAAACACAAGATCAATTAGTCGATGACAAATCCGAAATTATGACATATTAGGACATTATCACATAAGACCATGTTTTGCTCTAAAATACAACACATGGTTCTGATCGATACTAGTACACGCGTTCTATTCCACTGAATAAATTATGAAAAAAAGTCATAACAAAGGACTAGCCGTATTGATTTGTTTTCGTTTACCTGTAATTATCCTAATATAGGTGTCATATGCATGTAAACAATTATTATGACTTTTTTCATTCATTTAATCTGCACAAAAGCATTCAAATTTAAATGTTTGGTAAATTATTTTAAGATGTCTCTATTTTAATACATGAACCTTTTATTTGGCAATAAAAAAGGAATTATATCATGGATTTTAAATTTATTATATTTCTTAACTGAATCAGACAAAAGACTAATCTTTAATTGCTACATCAATGTACATGTATATATAATCACATTTAACTTTTGCTGCAGGGTTCAAAACTGTGTCATTGCTAGAATTATTAAAAAACTCTACAACTTAAATTTTTCATTGCTGTTCTTAATAAAAAAAAAGACTCAGACAATATGTGTATGGAAATTTAATATATCTTGAGCTAACTGAAGAAGTCTCAAACATGCAGACTTCCAATATAAGGAAGAATTTACTTTGAATGTCTGAACTTTGTTACAGTTCAACAGAACTAATGCTTATAGAACAAAAAGAATTAAATATAATTACAATATGACAATTTAATAAGCATAAATCAATATCAATATAGCACCTTGGGTGATTTTGATAATCATCTCATATTTCTTAACATGATAACTTATAAACATTTACCTGTAGTATTAAATCAGGTAGACATATATGTGAATTCAGTCATTGTGTCACTAAACCAAAATAAATCTATGAGGAAACTATATTTTCTTATCTGGACTTACATAAGAACAATGCAATAATGAATCTCAAAAATCATTGAGAATAAAATGCTTCGCTGAGCGCAGCCTGATACGACCGCAGAGGTCGAACCCTGAACAGTTTGGGCAAATTTGGACACAATATTCAAGCTTAATACTGTCTGAATTTGGATTGTGATCAAATTTTTGACATAATATAGGTTTCTGCAGAAAAATAAATGTGGTCAAAGATCTTACAAATATATTGCACAATACTGTGCAATTGAAGATTTCTTCTTGAAACTTTTCAAAAATTCAAAAAATTTGAAAAAAAAAATGAATCCCTTAAAAAAATTGGGAAAAAAAATTCCCCCCCCCCCCCCAACTTTTGGAAACCCCCCTTGGAGCAATAACTGCAAAACTCAATCCCAGCCTTTCCTTTGTAGTATGGAACATTGTAGTACAATTTCAGAGAGATCCATACACTTAAACACAAGTTATTGTCTGAAAACTAGAAAAATGCTTGTTTTTGGCCCTTTTAAGGCCCCTAATTCCTAGATGTTTGGGGCAATTAACCCCAAACTCAATCACAGCCTTCCCTTTGTTATATGGAACCTTGTGGTACAATGTCAGAGAGATCCATACACTTACACACAAGTTATGGTCTGGAAACTAGAAAATTGCTTGTTTTTGGCCCCCTTTTGGCCCTTAATTCCTAAACTGATGGCCCCATAACCCTTAAAATGAATCCTAACCTTCTATATGTGGTATTAAACATTGTGGTACAATTTCAGAGCAATCGAAATACTTATACACAAGTTAATATCCTGAAACTAGAAAAATGCTTTTTTTGGGACCCTTTTGGGCCCCTAATTCCTAAACGGTTGTAACCATCATCCCCAAAATCAATCCCAAACCTTCCTTTTGTGGTATTGAACCTTCTTAAAAAATTTCATAGAGATCCATTCACTTAAACTAAAGTTATTGTCCGGAAACCAATGTGTCTTCGGACGACGACGCAGACGATGACATCATACGATCCCAAAAAAATGTTTGCGGTCGTATAAAAACTAGGGTTCCAATTGTTCAAGAGCAAGTGAAACTAACTTGACATCTATACATACAAGTAATATTGAATGAAGTTCATAAAAAAAAATTGCTGAATTTCTTTGGTAGTTGGAAGAGTATTTTGCATTACACCTAAAAGGTTAATGAATTCAAATGTATGCTCTACATTAATAAATGTAGTAAGAATTCCTCTTATTCATAAAATAAACTGTTAACACAGAGATATGTCTCGCCTTTTTGTTATTTTGATAGTAAAATGAAAATGTTGTAATTAAAATAGCAATTCTTTAACATTTATAAGTTATGCAAAATATTCAAAGTCAATGAACCTTGACTGAGGAGGCAGGGTCAAACATCCTCCATGGAAATGAAATGTGCCAATGCTTATACAACTGCATACCAAATATCATTGAACTACCATTATTGGTTCCCCATAAACTGACCTAATCACAAACTAATACATGTAAGCTAAGCAAAAGTTTCAAAGTCAATAGACCATGACTGAGAGGACAGGAGAAATTAATCTCCATGGAAATTAGATGTGCCAATGCTAATACAACTGAATACCAAATATCTATGACCTACTAGTGGTTCCCCATAAACTGACCTAATCACAAACTAATACATGTACATGTAAAATTAGCAAAAGTTTCAAAGTCAATAGCCCTTGACTGAAGGGGTGGGGCCAAATAATCTCCATGGAAATGAGATGTGCCAATGTTGATACAACTGCATACCAAATATCATTGACCTACCACGAGTGGTTCCCCATAAACTTCGGCTAATCAAAAAATAATACATTGTTGATGCCGGAAACAGCATACACACGTCTCGCTTTTTGACTCCGAAATAAGATTTCATACCAAATTTAAGCTAAGGGATGGGGGCCTGGGGTATTCAACCTATGCATACATGTGACAAACTTTTGGAGATGAGTAAATATTCAACAGGAATCAAAATTTCTAATCATATATTTTTTATGTTCATACACGTTCTAAAGAAATCTGATAAAAAAAAAAAATTGAACTGAAAATTGATAGTAATATCCAAGAAGAAGATTCTCTAAAAATCTAGAGATTTACACCATCAGGCTGAATATTCTTAATAATGATACTAATACTGCCAAAAATATGTCAATGATAACCAGAAAATGAAGAAAAATATTTTCTATATCCATTTAGAAAAATTTGGACATGGCATCCCCCACCATATACGTGTATAACTGGTCTAAGGGGTATTATCCAATTTGTAATAGTACTGCTGAAAAAAATGTGTAATATGACAGCTATATTCATTTTCCGTTGTTAAAACTCCAATAATACAGTAAAACATTTATTGGAGCATATATCCAGCCTAATCTGTGATAAGGTTAAAATTAAGTAGCTCAGTCATACATAGATGATCCATCATCCATATCAATTTATATCAAGGAGCAAACAAAAGTTAAATTATAAAAAATAAAGTCTAATCACCTTAAAACTCTTTCAATGACCTAGTAAACTTTCCAAATGGTTAATAAAAAACAAAAGTTATTGAATAAGTAACACTGTAAAAAAGTTTAATATTTCCTCTTCACTAACAATTTCCCTGTATTAAGATAAACTGATTAATTGAGGAAAGTTTATGTTACTTTTTTAAAGTCTTCCCAGTATTAAGACTACTTGCACATGCATACCTACAAATGTAACTCAAAAACAAAGATTCTAATCTCTCAATTTTCAAAGTGCCTCCCAGCTAAAGTTTGAGTACATACTGAGTGAACTTTTATTGGGTAAAAGAAACTAAAAACTATATGCGTCAGTGCAACTTTGGAAGAAAAAAAATGAGGGAGAAAAATGTACATGAGATGATCCCCATGAAATATTAGGAACCATCAAATCATAGCTTACTGTGGAATCATTTATCTTAGTAAGTACCAATTTTTTTGAATTGAGGAAATGTTGTAGTTTCATGGATATTTGATTTCATGGTTTAGCCAAAGTCTGCACACAAGCCTATAGAAAGTTTAAATTCGTGGTTAAACTTTACCAACATAATCCACAAAAATTGGTATTCAACAAATTATAATGGATCCACTGTATACTTCATTTTGTCCTTTACAGTATTGACACCTTTTTGTCTTTTACAGAATTTGGTATCCCAGGGGTGTAGCTACCTAGAGGCACGGCAGCACGTGCATCCACATCGTTTTCACAAAAAAAAAAAAAAAAAAAAAAAAAACAGAAAGAGAGAGAGAGAGAGTGAGGGACAAAGTTAACATATATAGGAATTGGTCTTTCTATGTATGCATTTTAAAAACTACACAAAGAATAAAAGCAAGAGGAATACACATGCAGCGGAATTTTTAATCCTGTAAGACATGTATGTGTACGATAAATACATACAACTGGTGTAAACTTAGAGGAACTTTTTATATTACGGCATTGTTTAGAAAATACCAGCTACATAGTTGTTGGTACCACAACCATACTGTATACTCGCTTTGAGTGCAAAAAAAATAAAATAATCCCTTTAGGGTTAAACAAAAAAACTTGAAAATTATTATTTTCCGCTTCGCCCCAAAGCACACATCTTACTAGAATGAAGACTCTTCAACTCGTATCGATCCGGGAATAATGACTGTTACCTTGTGAACTAGTTCAATATTGACTAAGTATGTAGGTCTTGACAACACGAATAGTTCATTTTCAAGTCACGTCAACGTATCTCGTCCTGTGTGCATGCAATATTTGCTACCGTACATTAATAAACATTCAATCAATCAATAGTTTCCGTATACTGGTAGATGAGAAGTTGGAACTGCTGTTATTATGAAAAAAAAGTACACATTTTCCAGTACATGTTTTACGTTTTTATTTATTTTACAAAAAAATCTTTTATATAGATTCGATAATTCGAAGTCGTTTCTATATGGGCCGGCTATATGAATGGTAAATTGTTAATTCTAACTCGTTTTACTGGACTATTAGGACATTCAATTTTAAAAAGAACTGTATGTCCGAGTAGGACACTAAACTGCTGATTCTTATTCGAAAGATACACCAAACTTTTATTACACGTATCTTCACTGTTATCATCTATATATTGCCATACAACTGGTCGAATGCATATGCATTTGTTAATTAGCTGGCTAATCAAAAATGCAGATCGTGATCAAAGTACCATTTACTCTAAAAAAGTTCATTAATTTCAACTTCGAATATTCCTAACAACATAAAAT